ATCTTTCTCTATGTTTCTCATTGTTTCCTAAGACTTTAATAGCTGCTACTTTAGCTCTTATTGTTCTTTTTCTTTCACATTTATCTTTGCTTGGTGCCCAGATACTTTTTTCTAATAACGAGTCTGATTCTGTAAGGAGTATATCTTCTTCTGATTCTTCTGAGGTAGTATACTATTGTTCTCTGTTTGTTGTGCTGATTTTTTCTTCTTTAGTCTCTTGAACTTCTTCTATTTGGCATAGTAGTTCTTTGATTTCTCTGTTTTCTGGTAATTGAGATCTTTTTACTTCTATTTTTAAGTTTGATATATCACTATCTATGCTACTTGAATCTGATTGGTATATCATTTCTATATCTGATTTGTTTCCCTGTGCTCTTAATTCATTATTTGCTGCTACTATGCAATTGACTTCTTGGCCTAGAATACTTTTTACTCTATTGATTCCTTCAGTCATTGCTGCTTTTTCTATAACTTTTCTTCATTCTCTAGCTACTGTTACTATACTACTATCAACATCTAATATTTCTGCTATCATCTTATCAATATAATCTTCTAAACCCATTACTGATCTGCTACCTTCTGCTATTATTTCTTTACCGTATTCTTTAGTCACTACTTCAACGAGTCTACATGCTTTCTTTCTGTTCCACATATCTATCTTATCTAATTTATTCTTATTAGCTCTATCTATACTCTGTATTTTGTTTGGTGATTATTCTCTTTGTTCAGATTTTTAAATCTTATTCTATAAATAACTTCACTTTTTTTCAAAATTTCCCGTAGGTTTACTCAGATTGCCTGTAAACTGTCTAGTTCTAGTCTTGCGTGATTCGTCTCTGCTTTTTGATACATGATATGTATTTCAATACCGTGTTTGTTTGTTTACCTGCTTTGCACGTGTTTGTATTATGTAGCTGATCTGCGTTTCAGGGTGTTTTAGAATTCCCAGTTTTGTTCGCAAAAAAATTTTTTTTGTAGTGAATTTTTGACGAAACTTCTTCTAGGTCACTTTTTAAACTCGAGTTTTTCTATTCTTCTACTTCTTTATGTGTAATTTTACTTTTTGTATCTCTTTTCTTAATATGCTGAAGGGTGTTAATTAGTGAGTTTGATAGTTTATCTATGTAGTAACCTTTAGCTCAATTTTGTGACTAAATAATCTACAGAGAGAGTTCTGTTTATTGTCAATGATAACAAGCTATATTATAAAATAACAATATTTGTTTCTTAAATAAAAAATATTTTTGAGATAATTTTAAACTAGTTAGACTTAAAAAAAATGTTTTAAAAAAATTATCAATTTGGTTTTTTTTCTTAGCATCTTGCATATATTAAATTTTTAAAATTTTTATTATTTTTAAAAAAATTTTTTATATTATTAAAAAAATTTTTTTAACTTTTAATTTCTTGTTACTAACTCTCTAACTTTAAGCTTTTGTAAGTATATAAGAACCTTTATAGCAAAAAAAAAGCAGTAGACAGTTTTAAAATTTGATCTTTAAATAAATATATCTCGTGATCTAGTAATCAGAATCAAATAATTTTTATATCTTTAGATTTATCTTAGTAAGATGAATCTAATAATATAAAAATTATTTAATTCTAATCACTGGATTACGAGATATACTTATTTAAAGATCAAATTTTAAAACTGTCTACTGCCTTCTTTTGCTGTAAGGTCTCCATATATACCTTACTAAACTAAATTTATTTTTTTAGTAAGTCTAAATATTAGTAAAATATTATATCAGATATTATTTAACTAGTAATAATATATCTGATATTAATAAAACTTATTAAACCTAAGCAATATTAGAATTAAAATCAAATCTATATTTTATATATTATATTTACTATATATCAGATATTGATAAATAAATAACACATGGGAGCTTTGCTAGGAAAATGACCCTTCGAGACTATTAAATTTACTAGCGATCCATCATTTTCCTTATTCTCCTAGAAAAAAAATCCCACATCGATTAGTAAATAAATGCTTCGTGTAACATCACAAGTAATATTTAAATATTGAAATGAGTTTTTTGTACTTCTAATTCTCTATCCCTTAAAAAACAAAGCAAAAAATTCGCTTATGTTAAGTCATACTTCATTTATATAATTATGATTATGTTCATATATTTGATAATTGATTTAAGAAAAGCCTGATTGCGCCGAATTCTCACTGCTGCCTTTTGTGGTTAGTAGATTTAATTTAAAGAAGATGCATACATACCGATACCGATAAATACTTTAAAAATTAATTATATCGATATTGTTATTATTATTTTTTTTATTTAACATTAAATACGTATAAAAAAAAAAAAAAAAATTAGTTATCAATATCGTTAATTTTGGATTAGTGATATTTTATTAGATCCAATCAGATAACGATATTTAATACATATTTCGATACAAAAATGGACGAAAAAACCAGCGCTGCGGTTTTAGTCCAAACAATTGGCTCTAACTATATTACATCGACGATCACATCTGCCACATCTTCTTTATCAACTGTAACTGGAATTATAATACCTATTGTAACATCACGTACAAAGATGTTAAATTTATGGGTTCATGATGAAAAATTTTCAAAACAAGATTTTATTATGAATCCTGATTGTTTTCCGGATGCAAAACCTGGTCAATTATTAGAGATTTATCATTCTACAGAAGTTTCGGATGTTACAAAACATTTAATTGTTAAAGTTTGTGCTTTCGATAAAGAATATATAGGGAAGGAGAGACCGATTTTACAAGTAATTTTTTTTTTTAATAATGATAAATTGAGTGATTTTGATTCTGTAAAAGTAATTTATTATTAATTTTATAAAGGTTTCACTCGCAAATCATATTGCACAAATATTTGGATTTAAAACGAGAACTAATGTTATTGTTCGAGAGGTATATTATATATTTCATAATTTTAATATTTAATATTAAATAAGAGTCTTTTCTAAATTTTAAATTAAATTAGGTTGATGTAGAATCAGTTTCGGCTGAGTACATTGAATTCTCATTTCGTGATCAATATATTGGTAGAAGTGATATGTGGAGGTTAGCCCGTAGTCTTACAGGAACTTGTGTCTATCTTGGCAAACGAATAGAGTTTGCTGGATGCATTCGTGCGCAGGTTAAAAAGATTTATGTTAAAGGACGACAGGTGATTTTTATTATATATTGATTAGTTTTACATATCAAACATCGGGCTACTTATATAAATATATTTAATTAATGTATACTAATTAGGTCTCGTGTGGATATATAACAGGAGAGACAAAGCCAATATTTAGATCTGAATCTGCGAAATTATTTATTTTTGTTCAAATGTCTCGAGAAATGTGGGAATTCGACGAAGATGGAGAATTGTATTTTGAAAAAGCAATCGGATTTTTTTCTGAATTATTTAAACATTGGAAACAGTTGGGAACAAATCACGTAGTTTCAATAGTTTTATTTTCAAGAATATTTTACGATTATGAGCATTGTGAAGATGATCCTGAATTACGAACAGAAGGTTCTTTGATGAAAGATTATAAAAATAGATGTTGTAAAGATTTTTACAAGGTTATAGTTGATTGGGAAACACGATCTGATTGGAGTTCTGTCTTGATGCCTTTAAAAAATGAATTGTTAAATTATCAACCTGCAATTTTGACGAGAAATAAGCGGTGTCAAGATGGTTACTATAATGTTTTAGCTGGCAATAACTCTTATGCGTTTGAAGGTAATGTATTGGAGGCTATTAATCTTGCAATGAATCCATTTGATAAACATTATGTGGATCGAGATTTAATGCGTACGGGATTATCGATCTTTATAATAACTCCCGGATGTGGAAGATTCGAGGTTGATAAAAAACTTTTGAGAATCACGACCGAACGAATAGTTGATAATGGAATTGGATTGGATCTTGTATGTTTGTCAAAGGCTCCGCTTCATGCAGTTCCATTATTCAAATTTAAATCCCAGGAAATATCCAAAGCCCCGTTACCTGAATGGTTTGATAAAAAAATTCATAAATCACAACAAGCGAAGGATATGTATTTGGAATTGAGAAGTCCATTGGATTTTGATGAAAAATCAATTGATGCTAATTATGTATACTATGACACTCCTGATTGGATGGAGTGTAATTTTTACTCAAGATACCAGGATAGACCACCTAAACCCGGCAAATTTGTTCCAAGATGTAGGATGTATGAGATACAGATGATGGGAATCATGGAACACGAAATATCTTCAATATTGATTCCTCCGGAAGATGGTGAATTTGATTATGATAAATATGATGATGATATTTTTACAGATGTGCGATTAAAGTCAAGACAAATGGGATTTCCATACGGACAATGTAATGATTCAATAAACACGATTAATCGACCTTCCGATTTACCGCAACTGCGCAGAAGCAATGATGATTTTACTATTTATCAAAAGAATTATCCAAATGAGCTGTCAAGAAGTTTGCCAAAGGGATTACCGCTTAGCTTAGCTATGTCATCTATCCATCCTGAACAAAGTCGACAAACTTCAACGACTTTCAAAAGCGCAAGACTTTCTGGAAGTAATTTAATTGATTCATCAATCATTCATAGTAAAGAAACTCTTATGAGATCTCATTTACACGAAATTTGCCATGAGGGAGGTTTTCGAGGAGATCAAACCGATGAAGAAGAAGGCCCTGTGGTAACTTCTAGCACTGTTGAGGCGATACCCATAAGATCGTCAGCTAGATCAGTAAGGAATTCAATGCCATCATCACCTAAAAGTAGCGTTCCAGAATCGATTAAAAGCTCATATGCTAGTGAGAAAGGAAGATCAATAATTGTTTCAAAACAAGTTCAACCTGTGTTAATAAATCCTTGTAAACGTTCAAATAAAACCGGAAACGGAATTCGGCTGAAAAGATGGGAACATGTCTTTCCACAACCAAAATTAATGAACTCAGTTAAATGGTCAGCTCTTTATACCCCAGCGTGTCTTCCTTTAACCACAGATCATTTTCCTATAATAAATGAACATGGTTATGAAGAAGGAACTTATACAATCTCTGTGGATCCTGAAACATTCCCAATGAATCAAGAACACAGTATTACTGAAGAGAGTAAAACCGAAATATTGTTAAATGAAATGATATCTCAACGTTTAGCTCAAGGATATCAATTGATAGTACCTCCTGGCTCTAATACTACTATAGAAAATACAAAGATTAGGAAATCTACAAGTAATATTTCTGATAATCTTTCGATAAGCCCAGAATTTAATAAGTCACCAAATTTTAAAAATAAAGAATTAAATCAACAATTTCCGCAATTGAATTCGTTTGCAGTTTCTAATCCATGTTTTCTTAGTAAGGGACGTCATGTTCACAAATTGACATATTATCCGGCAGATCATGTAGAGGTCAAGAGATATTTGCGTAAAATTGAATATAAATTAGATCAGATACCATATTCTTGTGTTATATGGCCAAGAGGTCAAAAAGCTTATGAACCTAGGAAGGTTATGTTTACTTATCCAAACATTAATTATAAATGGAATTACGTCGATCAATTAGTTTGTGGATACCAAGATGACCTTTCTGATTCCGATGATTTAAGGTTTTGGAGAACTAGGTTTTTATTGATTCCAATGGAAAGTGTTACTAACAATCAACAGAATGAAGCTTTGGATGAAGAAGAAGTTCGAGTGGCCGGAATATATAAATTTCTTGAACTTTTCGAGAAAGCATATTGGATTCCACCGAATGATCGAAAGGATATTAATAAGAAAAAGAAAGAGAACATAACTTCATCTCTACATATTGCAACACTTGATCCATCATTGCATGTGAAAACTTTTGAGGAAGTGCATTCACGAAGATTATCAATTAATCCGCCAGATGAAAGACTTGGTAGAGATTCTAAAATTTCGGTAATAATTTCAGCAATGATGAACCCAGTAACTGGAATTGTACGAGATAGACGATGGCATTTGCTATCTTATCAAAATGCATTTGTTGGGAATGAGTATGTTGATTGGTTATTAAAAAAGTTCCATGATATTAAGACTCGTGAAGACGCTGTATCATATGGAAATGAATTACTAGAAAAGGGAGTGTTTGAGCATTGTACTAAAAGACATCAATTTATGGATGGACATTTTTTCTATCAGATAAAAGAAGATTATGCAGAACGAAAGACGAGAAGATGGTTTCCTCCAAGGTTTACAGCTCCGAGTACACCTAATTCATCTGTTACAACACCCATATTATCAGATCCTCCAAAACAACCAATTGAATTAACTAAGGCCATGCAGATTGATATTGATCCATTAAAAAAAAGTGATAGAAGAGAGACAGCCACATTACATTATGATTTGCTGTTTAATCCTGATAATTGTTATCATTTTCAACTTCATTGGTTAGGATGTACAGCACGACTTATTGAGGAATTACTTCAAAAATGGAGTGGAAACGCCGATAGATATGGGTTGAAATTAGTCGAAGTACCTGTAGAACAGGCAATGAGTATGACTGATAATAATCCATTTCAATCTCCAACCCTTATAAAATTATCAGTACCACCACCGTCACTTGACTCATTGGGAAAAAAATTACATCCAGCGATAAACCAACATTTATATTTTGAGAAACAATTGATTAAACATTTTAAGTTTATATTAGATGTTGAAGCTGATGATGTGTTTCCTAAGGAAGTGAAAATCAAATATTCTTATAATAAAACGCCGTATAAATATTCACAATATATACATAGATCAGGAGTTGCATTTATACAAATTTGTGACGAAGGATATTTGTGGGTGAACAATAGATTGTTTACAACACATAATCCATCATCATCCAACGCTATTGTTAGAAATAGCGTTCATTTACCGGCTTCATTATTAACTAATACGAATTTGGTTGGCTGTAGGGATTCTAATTTGATGGCTGTTTGTGCTAGAGAGTCAAATTTGATGAGTAAGAGTGTTGCAAACCTAACGCCCAATCCTGATATGTTGTTAAATGTTTTTCAAAAGTTTTGTGAGGATGAATCATCATTGAAACAGTTTTGGGATGATGTTGTAAGTAGATTACCAGAGCAAGGAGAAGATGAGACCGAGGAAGAATTGCGTAGTAGTAATCAAGAGCCTTACGAGATTGCGTAATTATATATATTATTGTAAATAAATTTAAATGTAATTTTTTAACAGGATAGCAATTCTGCTTAGGGAATTATTCAATAACTAATATTAAATTGGTACTGCTATAAATCTGTAACAAAGTATTATGTAATTATAGTAACATAAAGGTCATTTATTTGTAAATATATTTAAATTATCGTTATGAATAAATATATAAATTTAACTGACATAAATTTTGCTCAACTTTGTATAATATCGATGATCATAATTCACGACACAGTCAATGCTACACTGAAATTGGATTATGTTTTTTTTTTTTTTTTTTTTTTTTTTTTTTAATTAAAAAAAGGATCTCAACGAATATTCAGAATTCCGCAAAAATATTTATATTGCTTTATAGGTCTTAATATTCATCGAGGAGTTACAATTTTGGATGTCTAGATGATTTGCACCATTATAAGATGATCTTTATTACAAAATATTTGCCAATTTTTTATTGATCGCGTAAATATTGTACTTCATTTATTTCAGAAGTCTTATTTCTCTAGTTATAAGACTTTTAAGTATTTTTTTCGTTGATAGTTTAAAAATTAGAAACAGTTGCTTAAGCAAAAGATATTTTTTTAAATTTATTTAAGCAATTTTAATATAAAATCTTGATTTAAGTATTAATTATTTATTTTAGCAACTATTCAAAGATTTTAAGTTTTTATTTTTATATAACTGATATTTATATTTGAGGTGGTGAAATTCACCGGTATGCATTTTTGCTTTTTGATCAAAATTTATAAAAAAATTTTCTTATTTCTTTAAAAATTAAGGTTAGGGTTTAGGGCTAGGGCTTATTTTTAGGTACTGAATATTTTTACTTAGTACTCCAAACACAACCATTTTTTTTTTGATATAAATATATCTCGGTGAATTTCACCTCCGGTGAGCGTTAAAATAATTTACAAGAAAAAATCAAAACAGTTAACAATTTTAATTTTTTAATTTAATTTTTTATTTGATTTGGCTTTAATTTAAACAAATATTTCAATGAAGTACGTAGCAATTTTTTTTTTTTAATTAATAAAGCATAATCAAATTATAATTATAGTTAAGGCACGATCTTGTTTTGTCTCACGCTGCTTCGCAAACGGGAGTAAATTAAGATAATTGCATAATTTAGGATTGCCCCTTTATCGTTTCATTGTTTGAATTATGAATATAATGTCAAAAAAATATTAAGAAAATTCTTTAAATTAAAATTAATTTGTGATTAATTATGAAGGATTTAAAATTAGATAAAAAGAACACAAATCTCAAAGATCATATAATGTGATGCACATTTAATGTGTGACATGAAATTTGAATGGTGTTCTGTATAACTATGAGGTAAGATTAATATATGCGTTGAAATCGCTTATTGGTGCAGTTTATTACAGAATAATTTATTTAATTTATATACTAATTGCTTGTACGTACGTATGTACATACATTGTTGATTGAAAGTTTCTAAAGTTTCTACCGTAGAAACTCGGTAAACATGCCTGTAATCGTTGTATAGATGGTCTCAACAACAAACTCAAGATTTGGACGTTAAACCACTTTTATCCTTTGATAGAATTTACCATGTAGCATTATATATTGTAAATGATATAACAGACAATTTTCAATAAATATCGGATCGACTTAGTTTAAAGTTTTCAGATCTCGTTCATGCAGAATGCCAAAGAACGTTGACGTTTTTATCAAAAAATAATTCGCGGGGTTAAAGCTAGCCACACTGCCGTGAAACCTTTTGAATCATCACATGACTTTGAAAGTTTAATTATAACCATAACGATAATGCTAATTCTCAGTTTGGTCCAGTGGCTTAAGGAGAAGATATCATTTTTGTAACGTTATTATATTTACCTGATGTCGTAAAATATAAGGCAACGCTCTGATATGATATCTCAAATAGAGATTTTCCTTTGGCATATACCTACCGACGTACGTACATCTTTTTAAATTTGAACTAATACAAACAACGTTCTTTTATTCTTATTGTTATTCACTTATGTTACAGGGAAGGCCCTCAAGACTAATATTAATAGGTTAATTAATAGGTAACTTAAAAGGCAATGTTTGTTCTTATTTATGGAAGCTTTTTTATTACGTATTGGTATTACAGTATTAGTGTAAATAACATGGTGCAAATAGCATAGTACAAAAATCTAAAAATTTTAACAAATATGCGTTCAATCAACTCATCACATAAATCTAAAGCAAACAAAAAGGTAAGGGGAATTTACACCGTAACACTGGCCAATCTTAATGTCTATATGCTCGCCATATATGCTAAGTTTAACTTGTATAACTGCCTTATTTGTCGTGTTAAAGGGGAATCGATTCCTATCCCTTTCTTTTCCTATTTCCTCTACTAAAGTTGTCCCTCCTTTTTTTCAATTTGCGATTACTCTTTCTTTCGAGTATATTGCAAACATCATCCACGACTCCAAAGGTTTAAAATCTTTACCTGGTTTTTTTCTGCAAATTAAAGTGTTTTGTGAATCTTGATGAAATATTTTCAAAGGGCATTATTTATTAAGTCGAAAAGAAGTGCATCATAATATTATTATTTTGTTTCATTAGTGACAAACTTTTGATTTCATTTTATTCTTAATAATTTGATTATCTTAAAACTTTTAATTACTACTGTATCTTAACATCATCCAATCGACCTTGGATATCAAACTAAAACATGAAGTAGATCTTTGTTGCTAGAAAAAAAAAAAAAAAAAAAAAGCTTGATATTTTATTTATAAAGCTTTTTTTCAATATTCTTACCCATTTGTTTTAATAAAATTTAACGTGTGCCGATTAATTATCAGTTTAAACGTTTTAACATTATTATTGATAACAAGTTATGTCCAAGAAACCTCCGGCTGCAAAGCCGGTAAATGATCTAATAAGATTTTGGGCCGCACAACAAGAAGAAAAAGCAGCAAAGGCAGCAGAACCAGCTCAGCGATCACCTCGACGTCCATTATCTCCAACCACTTCCACACCTTCGTCTCCAAGGGGTTCAGAACCATTATCTCCAAGATCATGGATCACCAACAGTCCTTTTACTTCAAACTTAGTAAATGTTCCACCTCCGTTATCTCCAACACAACCATTACCACCTCCTATGCCTATAGTGATTGAAAAAAACAGTTCTTTGGCAAATAAATCTGTAGTATCAGACCGATTAAATGATATTTTTGGAAATGAAAATAATGATGGAAAGACTGTTAATGCGAATGTCAAAAGTGATACGTCGAAAATTGACACTATTAAAGATAATAATAACCTTTCATCAACCGATCTAAAAACAATTACAACTCAAAAGGATCGAGGAAAAGTCGACTGGAGTAATTTACCCCAAGATTCATCATCTTCACCATCATCATCACCTGCTCAAACTCAATCACGAAAAAACTCCGTCATACCTGTCGAAAAGCCTTTTTCACAAAAAAATTCTACAAGTGTAGGTGAACTTGGATCACCTACTAGAACTGTTCCACCAAAAGATATTTCATTTCTTACTAAATCACGCGAAACTAAGTCACAGGCTCAACGTGAAATGATTCCACAGGCAAAAAAAGTATCAAATTTAGTTTCAAAGTTTGAAAAAGCTGTAACACCGCCCACTTCACCTACTGCATTGTCTCCTGTAAAACGATTCAATACTATTCCGGATCCATCTTCCAGACCAATATCTCCAACCGTTCTACCACCTGTTAAACAAGTCTTTATTGAAATATCGCCCACAAAAAATATTGTTAGTAATAATAGCGGATCTAGTGGATCTACTAATAATGGATCTAGTAGTAATATTAGTAATAGTGGAACTAACTCGAATAATGGATCCGGCGCTAACATTGGATCTAGTATTAACAACGGATCCAGTACTAACAATGCTAATAGCGGATCAAGTGTTAATAACGGATCCAGTACTAATTATGGTTCCAGTACTAATTATGGTTCCAGTACTAATTACGGATCCAGTACTAATTACGGATTCAATAGTAATAACAGTTCAAGTAATAATGGATTCAATAATAGTAACAATAATAATAATGGATCTAACACTAATAATATTAATAGCGGATTTAGTACTAATAAAGCATTTAAGAATGATGCTACGCTAACCCGAGGCACTGTGATTTACAGTGAACCAGAACCGCTAAAAATATCAACCGTAAATGTTTCTTCGGATGCGAAATCTGCGAAATCTGAGTCATCTGGGACTTCAACACCAACAGCATCTACACCTGTGTCAACATCACCAACAAAATTGGCTAAACGAAGAAGTAAACCTATTCCAAGACCGTTATCGATCACAACTCCAGTATCTCCTAGATCAGTGTCTCCAATTTCAGTCCCACAGACTATTCCTGAAACACTACCAATGATATTGTCAGATAATAATTTTACATCTCCATCTTCATCTATTCGATCCAAGATAACTTCCAATGATGAATCAAAAATTTCATCTTCTGCATCATCGGTTAAGTTGACTGTTCGTGAATCAGCATCAAACTCGGAAGCCGTTTCACCTATGTCATTACTTTTTGTTGATGGTTTACCACAAATACAACCAACTTCACCTTTACACATAACTATGCCTGAACCATTGTTTAAGTCTACATCATCGTTTGGGAAAATGTCAACAAAACATGATTCAACTTCTACGATCTCGCAAGTCACCTCAAATTCATTTCAGTCTAGGAGGGAATCTATAATATCATCTGGAAGAGAATCGATAACTGTTAAAAAAACAAATCAACAAGAATTAACCAAATTTCCTGATATCTATCAATCAAAATCGACGTTAACAGATATTCCTGATTTGTCATTTTCATTTGAATCAACTATTAATAAGTCACTAAAATCTGATACTAGACCTTTATCTCCTCCTATTCAAAAACGTGATACAATGCAACGTGCTTTAACGCCAATACCTCAAACCAGACCAAAAAGTCCCGAATCTATTTCCATTAAAAGTTCTGAAACGGTTACTACTAAAGGACAAGGATATTCTGAATTAGTTTTACCAGAAATTAAACAAACGTCACCAATGTGGGGTCCTGTACATGATAATTCTTCACCACCATCACCAATTAATTCAATCACCATTAGTGATTCATTGTATTCTGTTCCAAAATCATCGATTCCTGAAACTAGATCGATAACTTCAGCATACTCAAATAGAAGTAATATACCTGAATTATTACCAGAATTAAAACCAACTTCATCAATGTGGGGTTCAAACAAACGTGATACATATTCAAAAAAACATGATAAACATGATACAACTTATTCATTTAGTAGTTATGCATCATCATCTCCAGAACCATTATCCAAAGTTAATTTAGAAATTTGGCAAACTATGGTAAAAACTACGGATTATGAAGATGATCAACAAACCACTCCAACTCAAAAATATCCACCAGTATCATCATCACAAACTTCTGGATATTTATTTTCTATAGATAAAAATGATGACTTATTACCACAAGCTACTCCTATATCACCTTTAAAATTTGATTTACCTGAACTTGGATTATTAGAACCATTACCAAAAGCTCAACAATCTTTAACAAATAAAGAACCTTCATCAACTGCTCCATTGAAACGTGATTTACCTGATCCAATGTCAAGTACGTATACAATATCAAATTTTACAACAAATACGTCATTATCTGATGGTGATAGAAATAATTGGGGTTTTTGGGGTGATTCACCTCCAGAATCACCTAATAAATTTAAATTGGATTTAGATCGATTTAATGTTTATTTAAGTAAAAATGATCTTGATAGTAAAAATATTTCTACAGAAATGAAAAAAGGAAAAGGAAAAAAGTATAGTACAGTTTTAGATAAAACAAATATTGATCATCAAGATTTTTATAAAATTAAAATTGGATCAAATATTGGAGATAAACATAAATCTTTACCATTAGTTCAAGATGATTCAATTTATATGATTGAAATGAATGAAAATCATATGAAAAGTGATAAAATGGATCAAAGTGATAATTATATAAATTTTGAAGATAATAATAATAATAATAATAATAATAATCCACCAATATTTCAAAGAAAACAAACTCGTTCATCTAGAAAACCAATGCCAAATTTTTATCCTTCAAAATCTAAAAAATCTAAATTAACAGATGAACAACCTCATGCTATGACAATAAAACTTCGAAAATCTGGAAATTTTCAAACTTATCCATTATCAGAAGATTTTAAAATTGGTACAAAAAGACAAAAATGTAAACCTATAGAAATTTTAAAATTTCCTTATAGTACTATTAGACCTCAAAGAAATACTTTATCAACTTTTAATACACTTAAAAAAAATCCTTTTCTTAAATCTATTAAAAAAAATTTTGGAGATCGTAATTTACCAGAATATAATTTATCAAAAAGTAAAATGTCTTTTAAGGTACCATATAATTTATCATCAATAGAATATGGAAAATTTAATCATTCTTTACCTGATCTTACTATACGTGTAAGGCATCAAAAATTTAATGAAACATTTTTAAAAAATAATATGACAGTACCAGATTTTACTACAATTATTAAAGATTTTGAAGAAAAAAAGAAATTAGATATTAATAATTTAATTCAACAACAACAACAACAAGATACGGATTTTGATTCTTCAAAATTAACAAAATTTAGTATTAATCCATTTGATGAATCTGAATCAAATGAATTATTTAAATCTGGTTCACCATGGATTCATTTACCTCATTTAGATGAATTTATAAAAAGTTTACCTTTAACAGAATTTTCAAATCCAAAAGATTTAATGACTCAAGATGAATATGAAAAATTTATGGCGATAAGTAAATTTGGAAAATATGCTGATTCTTTATTTCCACCATTAAATCAAATTCCTGATGATATTTCTTTAGATGATCTTAAATCTAATATTACTAGTAAAAAAAAGTCATCATTATCAAATAATTTATTATCTAATGCTATTGATGATGTTCTTATAGTTGAAACTATAGAATATGGAAATTCTTTTACTAAATTAGAAATTTTAATAGATTTTATACAATTTTTGACACTTGCGTTAACTTTTGGAAATACAGGAGTTGAAGGTTGGGTTAAAACTTTATTAAATACAATACCAAATTTTTTAAGTTTTAATTTCGCTGAAGTTTTTGGATATGGTGTGATATTTTTATTGGTATTTTTTGTTATTATAATTGGAGCTCTTTATTGGTTTAGAATTATGACCAAGTGGGATCCTAACGCTGACGTTGAGGTATTTTTTTAAATGAATTTTTTATGTAATTTTATAAAGTAATTATTATAACAAAATGATAATAATTTATTTATTTATTTATTTATTTAATTTTATTAGGGGTTTGAATCATTTCCTTGGAATTTACGTCCTCAAACAAAACGTCGTCATAATATGATTATAGTATTCGCTTTAACAACTCTTTACCTACCATTATCAAAACTTTCAATTGATGCTTTAGTATGGGATAATACATTTTGGCCACCATTAGATCCAAATATTAGTGATCCCCAAAATTTTTGTTATGTAACTAGTACGAGAAAAGGTGATTTAAACTTTTCACCAGTGATTATAATAATCGCATTAATAATTTTAGGTATATATACAATTTGGTTTCCTATCGCTTTGAAAAGATTAGTGGATAAAAATTATCCTAGGATTAATAAATATAACGAAGCAGGAGAAAAGATTACTGATGAAGTTAAAGAGTATTCAAAAATATTGGAGAATGATAATTGTCCTTATAATTTTTTATATAATGGTGAGTAAAAAAAAAAAAACGGAATACATTTGACAAAAAAAATTGAAACTTTTTTTTTACTTAACATACGATTTATTATTACAGGATATCATGAAAAATGGGCATCTTATAAAACATTTATAATGGCGAATAAGTTTCTTAGTATCTTATTAGTTTCAACAATATCTAAAGATAATTGTATATTCATTAATTCATCAAGAACTGGTATCTCATTAGTTCGTCAATCATTACAAATTTTTTTAATGTTATTACTTTTATTTATTCATTGGAGAAGTGAACCATTTCTTTATCCATCACAAAATATTAGTGAATATTGGTCTCGATCAGCTTATGTTATTGCAGCTATTTTAGGAATATTTGTAGTATTACAAGTTGGACAATATAATATAGTTTCTATATTACTTATAATTATTAATATATTAATTGGAATTATTATAGTATGGAAATTATTTAGTAAAACTAATCGATATAAAGGTTTTATTAAAAATATGAAGAAAAGATTAGATTTTAGTATTAATATATATTCACCTAAATTAGATTTTTCTAAACATATTAAAAGAAGAGTATGGCAAGAAACTTGGACATCATTAATTTTAACTTCAGATCAACTTAAAATTCCATCAGGAAAAGTTATAGCTTATTCACAATCACCACATAGACCTCCTTATTTATTAAATTTTTCAGGAAGTGTTGGTGAAAGACATGTTGAAAATTTAAAGATTATGAAACAAATTGGAATAAGAAATTATACAACTTCTTTGGCTCCTTTACCAATTTCTTTGGAAAAATTACGATTAAAAATAATTAATAACTTTGTTGGACCTGATATGTATTATGCACCAGAATTTTTTAACATCAATATAAAAACTTGTTTTGGTAAAGCATATGTAGTACCATTTCCGTTTAATGTTGTGATATGTTATGATGAGGATGAAAGTGTAGTTGTTTTAACACAAGAATGGGAAATCCGACGGTATGTCGAACAGAATGAGAATAAAGAAATACAAAGAAGGAGATTAGTTAGACAGATGATTAGATCTTTAGAAGGAAAGATTGTTGTCGGACCTTGCTGTGAAAAAGGTGATAGAATTGAATCAGAAATTCAAGATAAGGTATTTATTATTACACGTATAAAATATTTTATCGTTATTATTATAATTATTATTATTATTATTATTATGTTATTTAATAATTTATTTTATTTGTAATAGGAATTCTTTGGCATTTCAACAGGATCAGAAGTTCATTATCATCGTGGCCTTCTCCAAATCCGACGTAACCAACGTTTAAAATGGCGAGGTCAAAACATGAATTCCGGATTTGAAGTTAGCATTACTTATTCGGATAAAATTCGAAATGGTAATTCATCATTTAGTGAAGGAACACCACTTCATGAAGTAGCAGTTGGTCACAATATTATTGGAATCACATCTGATTTCCAAATGACACCACGACTTGAAAGATTATTTACAGATAATTATGAGACATTAACTAAAGGACTTGATCTGGTTCAAGCGATGATGCAACAATACAGAGACTATTATAAAGATGAAGCAATTAAAAAGATGGAAACTTTATCATATGGATTCTTTATAAATGTGTATGATAATCCTTCGATACCATTAGAATCATTACCAGCGTTATTGATGACAACAGAAACAAATGAAAAAGTTCGAGCAATTCCAGAAACTGAATATCCATCACTTATTTATTTATATGAAAGAATGCGAATAATAAATTTATCAAGGGTTCATCAATGGTGGTATTTATTCTGGGAAGATCTTTGGAGGAAAAATCATAAAGAAATTGAAGATTTGAGAAAATATCCACAAGATTTTTCACCAGCTTATAGAACTAGTTTATGTTATAGGCCAATGATAAGGTTAGATTTAGAAGAATTTTTACAGAAACGTGGTCTTTGGAAGAATGAAGGACGTGATGGATTCTTACATTCGGGAATTTTAAATAGGATTTATTTATATTTAAATAATGTTGTATTTGGAAGGAACTCTAAATCTAGACGAAAGAATAACAAACCTGGTGCGGAAGAAATGCAGAGATCATGGAGTATAATAAAAGGAAACACAGTTGATAGTAACGAATATACGTTACGTGGAAAAGATAAGAAAACTATGAAGGATCGAATATTGATAATGAAAGATATGATGTTGAGACGGAAAACAAATTTTCCTAGAGCTAGACCGTTCTTCGTGTTAAAAGAAGAGTACGTAGATATTGATGATCATGATAGTAATAGTTCTAGCGATGATGAAACCTGCATTAATTTTTAATTGAGTAGCGGAATTACCTTTATTTTCTTTTTAAATTTTTATTTAATTAGTTTTATTTTATTTAATTTTGGATTAATATTGATTCTGTGACATTTGTGAAATTATAGAGCACTATTAGAGCATTTTTAATATTGCATATTTGGATATTTATATATATATATATATATTTTTAAAAGAAAAAAAAAAATTGAAACATTTGTTTATTACGAGATATTCTGAAAACTTGTGTGTTAATGTATCTGATTGTGCTGAGGGTTTATAAAAAAATCAAAATTATTTATTATTTGAATATACGGTGTATTATTTGTTGTTTTAAAAATGATTCCTTTTTTAGATAAAAATTGCAATTACGATTCTAGAATTATGATAACGAGTAATTCTAGAATTAACGATAATGAGTAATTCTAGAATTAATGATAATGGGATTTATCTTAAAATCCCGACAAGACAAAAACTTGACAAGTTTGACCAGAATTATAGTTA